TTGTATAAATATTATTATAGTATAATTAAATTTATTAGAATTTAGTTTAGAAGATGGTGTAACTCGTTCTAAAGCAATTCGCTCCGGCCGAGCGATCTTAAAAGACTGACGGAAATTATAAAATTTCTGCTATTTATTATATTGAAATATAATTCTTTTTTTTTCTACATTTTCGTATACTTACTTTTATATCCGAAATTTAGTAAACGTATATTTAATAAAAAATAAAAGAGTATCCAGAAGGTTAAAAACTAAACTCACGTATGGATCCCATGTACCCTCTTTGAATTTTCGTACATTCTCACATTAAGAATAACGCAAAAAAAATACCCTTGCAGACTTATCTAAGGACAATTAAAGTTCTTTTTCACCCTCAATCCAGATTCTTCAAATTATATTATAAAAAAGTTACAGCAATGTAAAAAATCGCATAGAGTACGTTTGTACCCGTGTTTGGCTTCTTAGGGTTAAATTCCAATCCAAAGATTAATTTTCATAATGTTCAATCTTTTTTATTAAACATTTCAGCTCTCTTTGGAGCCAGTAATGATACATCTTCGATTTATTCTGTGTAGATATTCCAAAGAAAGTTCAATTTTTTTTTTATTACAACTGGGCGAAAATTTTTTTCTACTTTTATCGGAAAAACACATTAATAGATTTTATTAAAAATATTGAAAATAATTTTAGATTCTTGAAATTCGTGAACATTTTGAACATAAATTTAGCAATTCCGATATATTAAGAAAATTCTTATCATTTTTAATGAATAACTCGATCACAAAAAGAATCTCTTTTTTGGTGAATTATACAGCAAAATTTAAACAACCCAACATAAAAAACAACCCAACATAATTTTTACGAAAACCGACAAAGGGAACATAACAGTAGCTTTAAACAGAAATAGTTATATAGAAAAAATTACAGAAATATATGCTGGGTGACCAAGACGTACACAAAATTAGTAAAAAATCCATTCAATAAATTACCAAAAGATGTATTGTACAAGATTTACTTAAAAAATGGAAAAATAGAAATTATATCACGGAATCAAAAAATTAACAAATAATAAAGGCATTTTGCCAAGAGCATATGCTTTACCGAAGGTATATAAAGAGGATATATCGTTCAAAACTATAATTTCATCGTTGGATAGCTCTTTATATTCTTTCACTTCTTTCTTACATGATCTCAAAAAAATGTTGACAGGATTTTTAGCAAAATAGACAATAATTTTTTACTTGTAGAAAAACTGAGAAGCACTCGCGTTGGTGGTCGCGGATTTTTCTTTTATTTCATTTTGGTTTCATTTGTTTTGTGGCAAATGTGATTGATTTGGCAGTCAGAAATGTAGAAAAAAGATGGAATAAATTTGGGAAGATGGCATCTTCCCGAAAGCATCCCGAAAAAAGAATTTATTGAAGCGGTGACTTTTCTCTTAAACACTACATTAGCTTCAATAATGAATACTACAGACAAATTATGATATCCCTATGAGATCTCTTTTCTTTTCAATTATTGCAGATCTTGTTTTGCAAGATTTGGAGACTGAGGTACTTAAAAATTTAGGAGTTTCATTACCATTTTTTATTAGATATGTAGACGATATTGTCATAGCAGTTCTTATTGACTCGATAGAACACATATTTTGACTGCGTGCAATTCATTTTTCACACTAGATTACAGTTCACATGAGAGAATAGAGGGGATACTGTAAACTTTTTGGATGTGATGATCATTAAAAATAACAATTACTTAGAGTTTGACTAATATCATAAATTCGATTTATTCAGAACATTACTCATATTCAATATCGTAGAAAAAAGGGTTAATTATGGAAATGACTGATAGAGCTGTATTATCGGAATCAAAATTCCAATAGAAAAACATTAAGCTTGTAATTGATACTCTTCTAAGGAATGACTATCCAATAGAATTTATTTTCGACATTATTTCCACAAGATTAAAATTTTTACTCTCTAGACATGTTTCTGTAGAACAAAATTCTTTGATTGTTAATAATTCGAAAGAAGTTAAGAGGATTTCTTGGTTTTTGATTCCTTACAAACGACAGCTGAGAAATTCTTGACGACATAAAAAAAAAATTAACAACAAACTCAATAGATTTATCAAAATCCAGAAGGATATTTTCTCAAAAAATCAGAACAAAAATATAAAATAAAATATAAAATGCAAAAACTGTGATGCGTCTTATGTGAGACAAATCAATAGAAAATTGAGTATTAGAATTGCAGAACATCGCAATCATATCAAATGGAATATCAAATGTACAATTTGTGATTACAAATCATAGAATTGAATTAAATCATGATTTTGAAAGAATGTTCAAATACTGGATAATGAGAAATCTTTAAATCTTCTAAAAAAACTATTAATTTCTGAAAAAGCGCACATACACCTACAAAAAAATGATTTGAATTTATGATTGGATGAATTACATCATGCGTATGCCACAATGTTAAACAAGTTGACTAATTAATTCGCTTCTTTAAAATTTCCTTGTATAATTATTTCATGATTTTATTCTTTCTTAACAATATATTTTAAGTTTATATCTTGTAAATTTTCAATGGAATTGTTTTGTTTTACGGGGGGGGGGTGTCCGTCTTTCAATTGAAATTAGTCCGTTAGACACTTTTGACTATCTGAGCAATACAGTGGAAATTTTAATCACTATTAACATGGATAATAAATTAAAAATTGTTTAAATATTAAAAATAAAAAACTTGAAATAACAGGATTCTTAATTCAAAATCCGACAACGAGATATAAAAGGCTCTCCATTATTCATTTTAGTTTAACATAGATATAATTAAAGATGGAAATAATAAATCAAAACTGTAGAAAGTTAAAACACTAGAATACAATTACATACATGTTTCGATCTTATATTTAGTCCTCTTCAAATGTACAAAAAAATTTTTTTAGCGCACTAAAAAACATTATTCAAAAATTAAGAAACTGTTTCGTTACATAATTAAATGAATGTTAAAGCAGAGAAATGGAAAATTGCTCATCAAGCGATTGATTGATCGATTGCGAAAATTTCTCGTTGTTCTAGAAAGAACATAAAGAAACATAGAAACGTTATAAGTTATCAAACCTAAAATTTTTTTATTTAAAACATAATACGTCTCTTTGGTAAAAACTTACCTCATAATCCGACAATTGAGAAAAACCATGTTAGTATTATAAAAAAAATCGTCAAAATTTCGATGTCAAAAGCAGTAAAAAAAATTAATATTACAATTATAAGTGTGTAACGCCAATATATAAAAAGTAATGAAAAACATCTAATGTTCTTGACGGATTCAACTGTACTACGTTAAAACTTGACAATGCAAAGTCAAACATTGTTTAATATCAGAATGTATTATGAAGACCTTTTGTGTCCCTCTGTAGGTTAAGACTTACTCTGTTTTTTAATGTTAAGCATCTGAGGCATTTATTATAAATCGGTTCTTCATCCAAGATTTAAATTATTCCAATCAAAATCATGACCCAATTGCGATGATCTGTTATTACCGATTTAGAGCTGGTGTTCCAACATATATGATTTCAATATTCTGAAATCCGAATTTTCAACTTCCTCCCACGTAAGATGCATCATAGTCATTGCAGTTGATCTTACAAACAACATTAGAGACAACTTCGAGAAAGAGCCCAAAGGATCTTTATCTATATTTGTAAAAAGTGACACTACATCTAAAGAAATTAATTATCATTGAAGTAAATTCCTTTAAATTTATCAACCAAATCAACTAAAAACTATTTAACATGACTTGTCAGCTTTCAGAAAAGAATAATATATTTTGTAAAAAGGAAGCCAAAACATATAATGGACTACTAATAGATGAAACAATGATCCTAAAAAAGCAATTTTGTTTGTGAATTTTAGGAAGTGCGTCCTAGGAAGAATTCCATCGCTGCTGTATAAATATTTATATTCGAGTCATTGATGTAACTACAAGTCTTCCATCTTGAAAGCAAAATCTTGAGAGATGTTGTGAGTTTCGTTGGCCTATGAAGGGAATTTTTACTAGAGAGACATATTATATTTGTTTTAAAAAATTTTAGGTTTGATAACT